AATCAAGATTGCCTTACAGGCCCCAAGGATAACTTAATGCCCATCCATTACATAGAAAGATTACCCCAAGTGTGTGTTGTCCTAAAGCAAACTTCTAAAGGTAGCCCTGGGCAAGAGAGGGGGGAATACCTCCAGGTTATAGTTCACACTAGGGGAAGGAAAGGAGGAGCAGGGGATGGAGATTCCTTGAGTAACACTTTCAAACCCTAGAAAGTGTCCCTTGAATACTCCTGGGTAGGAGGAGGGGGAGATAAGAATTGGGCAGGGCATTGTGCCAGTGCTAAAAGACTTGGCCACCAAAACAGTACAAAAAGCACTACTCTCCAACTAGAGTCCCAATGAAAATTAGCTTATTACAGGTTCTGAGAAGTCCCACAGACTATGGAACCACCCTAACTAATAATCCACTTGCTTTAAGACTGGGCCGTCCAATACAATAGTATTCTAACTACCTGAAATGTGGCCGGTCCAAACTGAGACAGGCTGTAAGTGAAAAATACACACTGGAGTTCAAAGGCTTAGTATGAAGAAAAATTGTAAAACTATATATTTCCATTTATATTGATTATATAATAAACAACTGTATTTTGATTATATATTAAAATATTTAGGATGTATGGAGTTAAAACTAATTTCATCTGTTTATACTTCAAAAAATTTTTGTTGTTAATCCTCCATTGATTTTTAGAGAGTGTATGGGGGAGGGGAACATCAATATGAGAGAGACACATGGATTGGCTGCCTCCTGCACACGCCCCAACCAGACCTGGGATCAAACCTGCAACCCAGGAACATGCCCTTTCCTGGGAATCGAGCCAGTGACCCTTTTGTGCATAGGCCGATGCTCTTAACCACTTAGCAACACTGGCCAGGGCTGTTTATACTTTTTAAAAATATATATTTTTATTGACTTCAGAGAGGAAGGGAGAGACAGAAACATCAGTAAGAAACATCAATGATGAAAGAGAATCATTAATTGGCTGTGTCCCACACGCCCCCTACTGGGGATAGAGCCGGCAACTTGGGCAGGTGCCCTTGACTGGAATTGAACCCGGGACCCTTCAGTCCGCAGGCTGCCGCTCTATCCACTGAGCCAAACGGGCTAGGGCTGTTTATACTTTTTAATAGGGCTACTAGGACATTTAAAATCAGGTACGTGGCTCACATTATATTTCTACTGGATAGTGCTTCTTTAAAAATGCGAAGCTACAGGACATTAAAAACCTCAGGTATCCTGGACTGCCATGGCATTTGTGCCAGGTTTGCTTTTCTTCTAAGAGAGAGATAATCTATCCCAGAACTTGGGACAGATAAAAAAGATGAAAAAAAACATCCAGACATTCTGACCGGGGTGTATAAGATAGCCCATTTAGCATTATGTAATCCCAAAAGTATCAAGGAATGAGGGAAATACTTCTTAGAAAAACTGAACAGCTTTCCTTCTTTGTCTTATCCCTTAGATATCTATAATAATAAAAGCATAATATGCTAATTAGACCGATGTCCTTCCTAATGAAGCTGGGGCTGCGAGGGAAGCCGGGGTCCTGAGTGCCTGCCGGTGGCTGGAGGGAAGCCAGCTGGGGTCCCGGGTTCCAGAGGGAAGCCCGTGCCGGCAGCCAGGGAAAGAAAGGCCTACTCTGGCACGAATTTCGTGCATCAGCCCTCTAGTTTATGGAATAATAGAGAACTGGCTACTTTTGCCTTTCATTCCATGACTACCTGTAAAGTTATTCCTAAATATCATGCTAAAGAGTGAGTAACGTTGGAGTTCAGTGAGTGAAATCATTGTGTGCAGCCAGTACAGGGGAAGACAGAAGTTCCCTCAGGGACTGCCCAGGAGGGTGCTGCTCAAGGCCCAATGGGTTATATGTTTATTATTCCCTAGTAGATCTCACTGTCTTTCATTCACTCCATGACCATGGGTGACCACTGCACCAATTTCCTGTGAAAGGGTAATAGGTAGGTGAATGTCTACCATGCTTTGGAAGTACTATACCAGTCAACTCACGAAAGGGAGTTGGTAAAACCTAACCAGAGAACTAGTTGTGTGACTGAAAAAGGTAACCTGCTTTGTGGTTCAGCTTCCTTAGTTCTAACAAGAATAACAACACACATCTTACCAAGGAACTTAGGATCAAAGGAAAGAAAGCTGAATCCTAGCAGTTGCTGGCACTAAGCAAGAACAGTCTCCCTCTAGACTCCTCTACTCTGTGGGCTTCAGTCATCTCTGCCTTAAAGTTAAGGTCCAGACCTTTCTAGATTTAAAATTGAGGAAGCAAGCAGGACAAATAGGTAGTTGCAGAACAGCCACAGAGATGTAGATTACAACATAGGGAATACAGTCAATAATACCAAGATAAATAGGTGTAGGGCTAGGCTGGGGGACCACGCTGTAAGGTATATGATTTTCTAACCACTTTGCTGTACATCTGAAACCAATACAGAATAATATCACATGGAAACTAATTAAAAAACACATTTTAAAATAATAAAATTGAGAGACTGTATGTATAGCCAGTTGTTATAAAGTAAATAGAAGGACTCAGAAGATCTGTCACACTATGACAAGAAGTGGGTTTTCCCTTTTCTAGATTTTTCTCCTCTAAAGTAGTTTACTGATACTAACTGTCACTGTGAAGTGGCTGTTGTGTCCAGTTTCCTGGCATCTGAAAGAGAGCAAACTGGGAACACCTGGATGCAAGTGCCACTGAACGGTTCCTCAGGGCCCAGGAATGCCCCCTGCTCGTCAGTGACTGTCCTGCAGGGGACTGCACCACTGCAATGTGTCCTGTCCTCTCATTACTGACGCACCCTTCCTGTGCCTCGCCCACTTCAGGTCCTCAAGTAAAATCATTTGCTGTCTTTGAAGATGGATTCCTCTCCTTCTTCGGGCCTACCACCTACTTATAACCACCATGTCTTCTCCATCCTCAGACCATCCTTTCTCTGTTCTGTACAATTTCTCCACATCCAATCATTCTGTCAGCCCCACGGAGGGCACTCAAAGGAGCTGTGAGTAGCTACATCTACTGTTAAAACGCCTAAAGCTGCCTGAGTAGTATCAGGGCTATATACTCTTGGACTAAAATGTATTCAATAAACAGAGACATATTTGGACTAGCAGTTTTTGGACGGATTTCAAATGGATCACAGGCAATAGGAAACTTAGTCATTGACTATTTAGACCCAAGCAAGACAACATCAATATTTCTAAGTATCTATATAAATCAACAAGTCCAGCCCAAGTCGGTTTGGCTCAGTGGATAGAGCGACGGCCTGCGGACCAAAGGGTTCCCGGCTCGATTCCCATCAAGGGCATGTACCTCGGTTGCAGGCTCCTCCCGGGTCAGGGCCCTGGTCCAGGCTCGTGCAGGAGGCAACCAATCGATGTGTTTCTCTTGCATTGATATTTCTCTCTGTCCTTCCCTCTCTTCCACTCTCCCTAAAAATCAATGGGGAAAAATATCCTCGGGTGAGGATAAATAAATTAATCAATCAATCAATCAACAAGTCAATTTCCAACCAAGTCATCTACCTCAGTACTCGAGGGCTATGGGGCTAAATGAGGTCAGAATCTGCATCCCACAGAACCCCAATCTGTGTGCCAAGGAGCTCTCGAAACAGCTGGGCAGCCAGATGCCCTGGGTCTGATCCCTTCAAGCAACAAGGGGCCTCCATTCTCCAGGCTCCAAATTCCTCTTCTAATCAAACTCCAGTTTAGAGGCATCCGTATCTAAAAGCTCAAGGCTACCGGACACTGAATGGAGAAGCTACCCCAGGGTCTACCCCAAGCCGCCCAAATAAAAGTGACCAGTGTCTCCTCTGACCCCTCTCTGCCCCGTCATAACACAGATCTCATGGCATCACGTGGGTTTGCATGTTTCCTCCACCCGGCTGGGCTCCTTGAACCCCCAGGGCCCACCACATAACGCTCGATAACGTGAGCAGAAAGAGAAACATCTGCTGGCCTAGAGCCACCCTTCTCAAGCCAGGTGCACCCCAGGCTGCGATAACGCAAAGCCACAAGATAACCAAGGAGCATCTCCCTCGAGTTCAGGCTTAAAGCATTTTTTTTCTTAAGACACTTTAAGAGAAAGCAAAACCCACATGGCGTTTTTTAAAAAATAATAAAGTAGTCGTCTCCTAGCAGGCTGGCAGCTTCCAGATTCAGGGCCCCGTCCCAGGCTGCGGGGTGTACAGGTCCCTGTCCTGCCCCTGCCGAGGCTGAGAAACCCAAGAGGAGGTGGGCTCCCAGGCACCCAACTTTTTGAGAGACTGAAAGCAATTTGTCGGGGCTCAAAGGCCACCCGCGCCACTTTTCCAGGTGAAACCAACAATAGCAACAGCACAAAGACAAGCTAATCTCGCCCAAACGACTCAGAAGAACAGTGCTGAGGTCGGGAAAGGGCGCTCTAGAGCCTTCCCCGCCTGGCCCAGGACGTCCCATGACGAGGCCGGTGAGAAAACAGGCTCTGCAGACGCCTGAAATAACGTACCATGGCTGGGTCGGTCCCGAGACCCTTGACCGCTTCCTGCAAGGGCGCCAACCAGAAACTCTCACTTCTCGCCCCGGCAGCCAACGAACCGTTAATGGCCCTGGATCAACAGTAACCAGAGGCGCCCCGGGGCGGGGGCGGGGGCCGGTACGGAAGCCGGGGGCGCACAGCCCAAGCCTCTCGCAGGTCAGCTCCCCGGCGGGTGCGCAAACGCCCCCCGCCTTCCGCGCTCCACTCAAGGGCCCCAACAGCCCAGAACTTGGCGAACTTCCCTCCGCGCCCGCCGCCAGGCTCCAGGCCACCCGCGTCCCCAAGTGGGAGCCGAGTGGCGGGACAAACACCTTGAGAGGGAGGCGGGGGGGGGGGGGTGGAAGAGCCGGCTTTCTTCCCGCAAGTCCCTCCAGGGGCCGCGCAAGGGTCCCGCCGGGACTCGGGAGGCCAGGCGGACACACAGACGGACAGACACACAGACACACCCGGGCCAGGAGCCCCTTCCGCGCTCACCTTGGCCGACGTCTCTCCGAACAGCGGTCGGTTGTCCAGACCGCTGGTGCCGTAGGTCCGGATAGAAAATCCCCCATGGGGGGTCTTTGCGGGCCCAAAGGCACTTAAGACGGGCCAGGATTCCCTCCCCCAGGGGCCGGGCCGGGGCTCCCCCCCGCCGCCGGGCTCAAGGGGG